CTCACAGCAACCTCCAACTCCTGGGCTCAAGCGAGTCTCCTGCCTCAGCCTCCCAAGTAGCTGGGACTACAGGTGCCCGCCACAATGCCTGGCCATTTTTTGGTTGCAGCCATCATTGTTGTTTGGCGGGCCTGGACTGGGGATTTGAACTCTTCACCTTAGGTGTATGTGGCTGGCGCCTTAGCTGCTTTAGCCACAGGCGCCGAGCCGCAAGACCCTCTCTTTACAAAAATTTTAAAAATTAGCTGAGCACAGTGGCAAGTGCCTTATAGATCCAGCTCCTTGGTAGGCTGAGGTGGGAAGACTGCTTGAGTTCATGGCTTCATGAAGTGATCTCACCACTGTACTCTAGTCTGGAAGACAGAGCAAGACTCTGTCTCTATTTAAAAAGAGAGAGAGAGAGAAAGCAAGAAAAGAATGGACTTAAATAAACTATCATACATCCAGATAATGGAGTAATTAGCCAGTGCTAAAAACAAAGGTGGTTATCAATATATGGAAAGTAAACTTACATCCCTATTGCTATGTAAAAGAAGCCAATCTGATAATGCCAAATAATATTTGATTCCAACTATTCTGGGAAAGGCAAAATTATGGAAAATAGTAAAAAGAATGGTGGTTGCCAGGCATCAGGGAGAGGGAGGGACTGGTAGGAGGAAGACAAGAGGGTTCTTAAACTAGTAAGACTCTTTTGTATGAAGCTATAGTAGTAGTACTTGTCATTATGCATTGGTCCAAACCCATAAGCCATCAGAGAAACCCTGGGTGGTGATGGGTGTGTCACTGCAGGATCGTAGGCTATGACAGTACACCCTCCACTAAGGGATCCTGATGAAGAGGGCAGAGGGCCTTTGAAAAAACTCTGCACCTTCTCAATTTTGCTGTGAACCTAGAGTTAGTATAAAAACTAAGGTCTATTAAAAAGACAGACTAAAGTTTAAAGAGTTTTAAGAAAATGTCTGCTAATCAAACTAAGAGCACATGTAAGATTTTAAGGAGATACTCCCTGATACACCAGTGTTAAGTATGAAACTTACTAAGACTCCAGTAGCTTGTAGAAAAATAATTCACTCATTAAATTCATCACCTACTGAAAACAAACCAAACAGGACTTGTACTTAACCTTCTGAGTAGCTACACACAGGCTGTTCCAATTATGATGTGTCCAAATAGACCATCTCTGTGACTTAACCACTGCAGGGTCACTTGCCACTTACGTCTCTAAATGGCTCTTCAGCAAGTCGTACACAAGCACGTTGTTACTCTGCTTTGCAAAATGCAGTGCACTATTTTGGTGCTTTGACAAAATGTTGCAGTCAGCCCCACATTCAATTACAAGTCGAACGATGTCTGAATTTCCTCTCTTACATGCCTAGGTCAGGAAAAAAAGTGATAATTACTTAAATGTAAACTATGAGAACTACCAATTGGCCTTGGACCTTTTCTCTAGGTGCACCTAGACCAGCTCTTTGGGAAGAGGGCAAAGGGCAGTGGAGATGGGGTGAGAGCATCTGGGCCATGTCCAGTGGAGGTCACAGCACTGCAGACACTGGCAGGCAGCGCAGAGTTTGGATGCTACTTTCAGTTATTTCGTTCACTGATTCTCCAGGAAATGAACAACTTCACTGAGGATACTCTAGTCCCAAGACAGAGCAGACAGCTGACGCGCTCAGCAACCCTACCCTGGCCATGTGCCAATGCACTACAGAGGCAGACTGAGCAGCTGAAGTGCTACTCAGGGCTCAGGGTCACAGTGATACAGACTGTTCCCAGCTGCTGATTTAATGGAAGCTACCTGAGCACATATACAAATCTGAATTTGCTAATCTAAGATGGAGCCTTGACAAAGTCTAGAGACTATTTCTGGAGTAAACAGAACTATAAACCAAGTTCTCTCCCTGTCTCTGTTTCTCACCAGCTACGTGTCTTCAAGTGAGTTTCCATTTCTTAAAAGGGCACAACAGTCCCTCTGTCTCAGCACACTGGACACTGGAGTGCAGGGGCAGGCTTTCCGCTCAAGTTGCTTAAGGGCCACTCTGCACAGCAGGCTGTATACCCTGCAGTTGGTCACAGGCTGAGTCTCTGGATATGGTGCCAACAGTGCCTGTTACCAGGCGTGCCGGTGCTTCTCACTGGGAGACTGTCCCAGGGTGCAGGGCAATATCTGGACATTTCTAGATATTAGACTGGGGGTGGGGGTGCCATTGGTATCTAGTATAGCAGTTAGGGATGCCATGGAGCATCTTGCAACAGTGCCCAAGCCAGGCCCATGATGACCACCCCACACTGTAGCTAGGAGTAGGGTGAAGAAGGTTTGCTGGGACCCACTAGGTCCTGACACTGATGGGCAAGGGGAGTTCTCTGTATCTCCCACTCCGGTGAGGATGAATTTCATATATACTTTTTCTGAGATAAAAAGAGTTTTGTTTTAATTTTTGAATATATCCATGTTCATCTCTTCTAATTCTAAAATTAAATAAAGCAGGCCAGGCAGGATGGCTCACACCTGTAATCCTAGCACTCTAGAGGCTGAGGCAGGTGTATTGCCTGAGCTCATGAGTTCAAGACCAGCCTGAACCAGAGTGAGACCTTATCTCTAAAAACAGCCAGGTGTTGTGGCAGGCACCTGTAGTCCCAACTACTTAGGAAGCCGAGGCAAGAGGTTTGATTAAGTATAAGAGTTTGAGGTTGCTGTCACACTCTACCAAAGGTGACGAAGCCAGACTCTTATCTCAAAAAAAATAAAATTCAATAAAGCATAATGCACTACATTCTGAAAGCAATTAAAATGCTGCTTTTTGGCTCAGCGCCTGTAGCTCAGTGGCTAGGGCACCAGCCACATACACTAGAGCTGGCAGGGTCAAACCTAGCGCAGGCCTGCAAACAACGACAACTACAACCAAAAAATAGCCAGGCGTCGTGGCAGGTGCCTGTAGTCCCAGCTACTTGGGAAGATGATGCAGGAGAATTGTTTGGGCCCAGGAGTTTGAGGTTGCTATGAGCTGTGACATTACGGCACTCCATGGAGGGCAACACAGTGAGACTTCTGCCTAAAAAAAAAAAAAAAGCTAACTGTAGATATAGGAAGCAGCCTAAGTTTTCTTTATTTTTTTTAAGAGACAAAGTCTCACTCTGCTACCAGCTAGGGTACCGTGGCCTTATAACTCACTGCAGCCTTGAACTTATGGGCTCAAGTGATTCTCCCATCTCAGCCTCCCGAAGTGCTAGGACTACAGGTGTGTGAGCCACAGTGCCCAAGCCACCTATTTAAACTAGACATTAGTTAAACAAGCAATAAGTCTCCTCTCAGAGGATATGACTTCAACTTTTCCCATTCCTACGCACAGCCTCCGCCCCATTGGGGTTCCACCAGTGCACACAACACCTCATGCACCACCACTGCTAACTCAACGCAACACTCCTGACAGCCCACAGCCTGGATTGCTGGCTCCCTAGTGCCTTCTGCCTGGGCCCTGTGAACCACCTTCTCCCCTTGGCTCTTGAGACCCCAGTCCCTGTCAAATCTTGCTCTTTCTCTGGTGTTTCCTGTGAAGCCGCCTTCCATCTCTGGTTGGCCTCTCCCTTTTTTCCAGTTCTCGTTGGGTGACCCGCTCTCAACCAACTATTGTACTCACTGTCATCTCTCTGGACAACTACAAATGTGAATCTTCAGCCCAAACCTCACTGTTGAGTTTGGGATTCCTAAGTGAAATGCAATCTGAATATTTCTGCACAAAGGCAACATCTCAACAGCTAAATGTCCACTGTCTTGCACCTGTGCTGCCTGCATCCTGACTCAGGGAACAGATGACCAGATTATCTGTAGTCACAAGTTCTCTGAATTCTATCTCCTACCAAGCTGGTGAATCCTCCCATGATATCCCTTCTGTCACTACCTAGGGAAGCACACCACTACATCCTATAGTCCCAGCTTGAAGGAGCTTCCCTACAAGTCTGCAAACTGCCTTTCTTCCCAGACCATGCTCCCTCCTATACCAATACCATTAAAACAAAGGAAAAAATACTCATCTGATTATACCTTTTGCCAGCTTAAACCTTGTAGTTGGCTCCAACTGCCTGATTCCTAAGCCTCTGGGCTGCCCTCCATTCATGCTTCAAAAGGCACCACAGCGCCTGCTGCTGCTCAGAGCGTATCTGGTGACTTCTAAAATGATGGTCTAAGAGGCCACCTCTGCTCTACACATATGGCAATAACAGAAATAAAGAGAAAGTAGTCTCAGGCTCCTGAACAAAACAAACATTTCCACAAACTGAATGTGAAAGAGAAACAGAGCAGATAAGAAGGCTTAAGTCTCACATGGCAGGAGGTCAAAAGGTCAAGGCAGGCAGTCCTAGCTTACAGAACAGGTGCTAGCCTGTTTAAGAAAGCACTTGACAATAGCAGCACCTGGGTCCCTGTTGCTTGCCTTTACTTACTCCTGACGGATGTGGAAACATATTGCAGATAATCTCCTCCTTGGCTTAGGTAAAGGTACATCCCAGGGAGGGGCCACAAAGACAGAGCCACCTTCGGCTTGGTATCTGAACCTGCTACTGATATCTTGGGCCAGGAACCTATAACTGCCACAGACTAATGGGCCAGAATGGGCAGGGAAAGCCAAACGGTGAGAGATAATAAGGTATATGGGACAGGCAAGGAATCTCCAACAATCTTCCACTCAAACACGTTTGCTAACCCCCAACTCTAAAACACAGGAAGGGCCAGAGGCAGTGGCTCACGCTTGTAATCCTAGCACTCTGGGAGGCAGAGACGGGAGGATCCATTGAGCTCAGGAGTTCAAGAGCAACCTAATCAATACAGTGAGACAGGGTCTAAAAACAGAACTCTATAAAAAACAGAACAAGTAGTTGGGCATTGTGGCGGCACCTGTAGTTCCAGCTAGCTATTTAGGAGGATGAGGCAGGAAGATGGCTTGAGCTCAGGAGGCTGCTATGAGCTAGGTTAACATAGCACTCTAGCCTGGGGCAACAGAGTAAGACTGTCTGAAAAAAAAAAAAAACAACCCCAAAACAGCAAAAAACAAAAACCATAGATGCCTGAGACCAAAGAGATGAATGTGCAAATATAAAACAGTAAACCACATTAAGAGCACTTGGAACTCTCTTGAGCACTTTGAACTCAAGAGCACTTGGAACTACTCTCAAGTCTCTGCATATCCCAGTGGGCAACAACATCCTCCCACCTCCTGCTCCCTGGTGATGTGTGCTGTCTTGCAGTACACAGCTTGGAGGCCTGCCCTGTCTGTCCTAAAAGCTTGCTGAAGTCCCCAGGGCTAAACTTGAGTGGAGAACTTTGACCCTATGGCTCCCTCCACTGACACACCACACTCTACATGAACAACACAGTGAGACTCCAACTACTAAAAATAGAAAAGAAAAAACGTAACTAGGCACTGTGGCAGGGGCCTATAATCCCAAGTACCAGCTAGAGAGGCTGAGGCAGGAAGGTCATTTGAGCCTAGAAGTTTGTGCTTGCTGTGAGGTCAGCTGACACCATGGCACTCTAGCCTGGGCAAGAACCTTGATGGTCTACTCCTGCCTCTTTGGGAACTGCCGGGGCCCAGTATACAAGGTATGTCTCCTTCCCAAGGCTATTCCCAGTCCCCTGCACAGGGCCTGGCTGTGGCAGGTACCAACATCACCTGCACAGAGGCTAAAGAAATGACCCACAAGAGGAAGTTACCTTCATCAACGCAGTCTCACCGCTGCTCTGCTGGACATTTACAAAAGCTCCTGCTTCCAAAAGGATAGCCACCGTAGTTAAAAAATTCTATTTAAGAAAAAAATAAATAAATTTAAGTCCAAAATTCTTTAAAAGTAAGATATTATTTACATGTCTTGAAATTTGTATTCATCAGGAAAAATACTAAGCAGATTCTATGGCAAGCAGGCTGCTGGCTGCGCCCTTCCTGGAGGCTTGGGAGGTAAGCTGCCCCATAGGCTCCTGGCCCAAGACCACCTAAGCTGACCCTGAACTGCACTGAGGCTTCCACAAAAGCACTTCTGCATGTACATCCTTTCAAAAGATAACACTGTATACGGCAATATATGAGAACATTTTAATTATTAACCAAAAGGAATACTTTTCAGATGGGAAAGACTTTTAAATTAGCTAAGATTGAAATTATATCAGAACTTTAATCAAGAGTACTTTATTATTATTTTTTTCTTTCTTTCAAGACAGAGTCTCACTCTGTTGCCCAGGCTAGAGTGCAATCATGTCATCACAGCCCACAGCAACCTCAAACTCTTGGACTTGAGCTGTCTTCTTGTGTCAGCCTCCCAAGTAGCTGGGATTACAGGTGCCTGCTACCATGCTCAGCTAATTTTTCTATTTTTAGTAGAGACAGAATCTCGATCTTGCTCAGGCTGGTCTTGAACTCCTGACCTCAAGCAATTCTCCCATAGTGCTGGGATTACAGGCATCAGTCACCGCACCTGGCCTAATCAGTACTTAAGATTTCCTTAACCAGAAAAATCATTCTTTGAAAATCTGATTACAAAGTACTACTGATTTTTAAAAGTCTATTCATTATGAATAAGTTGTTGACCAACCAAAATGTGAAGTTACCAAGTTATATGACCATATAGCCACTGCATTTCACTACACACAGAAATTCTTAATTCATTAACTTTAAACTGATGCACACAAAGCCACAGACCTTTTCAGCAGCATGAATAAGGGCGGTGGTCCCATTCTTCTGCCGGCCATTCACTTTTGCACCTTTAGTGATGAGTAGTCTCAGGAGATCATCTTGACCTCCTGCCGCAGCAAGCATTACCAGTGTCATCCCACTGGAATCCTGTGTTGGTTTTGTTAAACAAAAAAATTGTTCATCTTTAATCAAAAGTTTTTTTAATTAATTAATTAATTTTTGGAGACAGAGTCTTACTTTCATGCCCCTGGTAGAATGCTGTGACATCATAGCTCACAGCAACCTCAAACTCTTGGGCTCCAGTGATCCTCTTGCTTCAACCTCCCAAGTAGCTGGGACTACAGAATCCTTCCATAATGCCTGGCTAGTTTTTCTATTTTTAGTAGAGACAGGGTCTCTTGCTCAGGCTGGTCTCCAACTCATGAGTTCAAACAATTCACCTGCCTTGGCCTCCCAGAGTGCTAGGATTACAGCCCTGAGCCTGCACCTAGCCCCAGAACAGTTTTAGAACCACATCTTTTCACCTAAGATATTTCAATGTGGAATCAGTCAGGTGCACTGATTAAGACCATTTTAGGGTTTTCACTAAAATAACCTAAAAATCAGAAACTATAACCCTAGATTTTTTTCCCCCCACATAACTGCTACCATAAAATTTTACAGCTTTCCCAAAGAGGCATACCCTGTTTTAGTGCACTCTGCTGTACTGCATTTCGAAGATCTTCCTGTCTCTGTACCAGCATGTTTTAGCAATGAAGCATTGTTAATTAAGATATGTACATTGCTTTTTTCTTTTTGAGACAGAGCCTCAAGCTGTCGCCCTGGGCAGAGTGCCGTGGCATCACAGCTCACAGCAACCTCCAACTCCTGGGTTCAAGTGAGTCTCCTGCCTCTGCCTCCCAAGTAG